TGTCTGGTGTGAATTGCTCTCTTAAGGTCATGCCACAGCATTTCAATCGGGTTGAGGTCAGGACTCTGACTGGGCCACTCCAGAAGGCGTATTCTGTGCTGTTGCAGCCATTGTTTTGTTGAATTACTTGTATGCTTTGGGTCATTGTCCTGTTGCATCAGCCATCCTCTGTGGAGCTTCAGTTGGCGGACAGATGATCGTACGTTTTCCTGCAAAATGTCTTGATAAACTCTGGAATTCATTTTCCCATCAATGACAACAATCCGTCCAGGCCCTGAGGCAGCAAAGCAGCCCCAAACCATGATGCTCCCTCTGCCATGTTTTTACAGTGGGGATGAGGTTTTGATGTTGGTGTGCTGTGCCTTTTTTTCTCCACACATAGTGTTGTGTGTTCTTCCCAAACAACTCAATCTTGGTTTCATCTGTCCACAGTATACATTTTGCCAGTAGTGCTGTGAAACATCCAGGTGCTCTTTTGCAAACTTCAAACGTGCTGCAATATTCTTTTTGGACAGCAATGGCTTCCTCCGTGGTGTCCTCCCATGTACTCCATTCTTGTTTAATGTTTTCCTTATTGTAGATGTGTCAACAAAAATGTTAGCATGTGCCAGAGATTTCTGTAGGTCTTTAGCTGACACTCTGGGATTCTTCTTTACCTCATGCAGCATTCTGCGCTGTGCTCTTGCAGTCATTTTTACAGGATGACCAAGCCTAGGGAGAGTAGCAACAGTGCTAAACTTTCTCCATTTGTAGACAGTCTGCCTTACCGTGGACACATGAACATCAAGGCTTTTGGAGATACTTTTGTAACCCTTTCCAGCTTCATGCAAGTCAACAATTCTTGATCGTAGGTCTTCTGAGAGCTCTTTTTCTGCAAGGCATGGTTCACATCAGACAGTGCTTCTTGAAACCAGTAAACCCAAAACAGGTGTGTGTTTTTTAAGGGCAGGACAGCTGTCAGCAATACATCCAATATCATCACACTGATTGGAGTCAAGGTTTGCTCACTCCTGGCTCCAATTAGCTCTGGGAGAAGTCATTAAGCTAGGGCCTCACATACTTTTTCCTCCCTGCACTGTGAATGTTTACATGTTATGTGCAATTAAACTATGGCAACATCTAATGTTTGTGTAGTATTATGTTCAGCAGACTGTGTTCTTCTATTGTTGTGACTTAGATGACGTTCAGAGCACATTTTATGCCCAATTCATGCAAAACTCCACATAATCCCAAGGGGTTCACATACTTTTTCTTGTAACTGTATGTTTTTTTTTTCAGAATGTTTGTTTCTGTCTCTAAAATTTAAAATACACCTATGATAAAAATTATACACTCTCCATTTCTTTGTAAGTGGGCAAAGGGGATCCAATAATTATTTTCCCCACTGTGTGTGTGCATAATATATGTATGTATATATAAAATATTGGCATCCCTTCATTTCTGTCAGATAATGTGTACCACTTCACCCAGAAAATTGTTGCAATTACAAATGTTTAGGCATTTCTACGTTTATTTCTTTTGTTGATACAAAAAAGTGGAAAATCAAAAAGCCAAATCTCATACATTACATGCAAAACCCGCAATAGAGATTTATGGTTATACATACTCTTTTTGATTTGACATGTTTTATTATCACTATCTAGATTTGAACAGGAGTTCCTGAACAGCCTAATGAAAGAACAAGCTAATCCTGATGGGCGGTACTTCTGGACAAATTTAAGAGACACTGATGAGTCTGGAGATTATTATTGGCAAACTGCAGGTGGGAAAAAAGACCTCTCGTTTTCCAACTGGAACACTCATGAGCCAGGTAAAGTGACCACCACATTGGTTTAATTTGGAGCTGTAGCCATTTGTGTTTGGGAAAGTGTTAAATCCTTGGTGAAATCTTTATCACTGTGTCCCCATTGGGTTTAGATCCTGTCCCATTGACCAACTGTCACCAGCATAGCAACTGAGGAAAAATCTCCACAACAGGACACAGAAGGCAATAAAAAAAATTAGAGCTGCTAAAGTGGTTGTAAACCTCAGACATGAAATCTGAACACAGCATATCCCTCTATAGTGTGTACTTGCCTTTATTAAAAGCACTAAGTGTAATTTCCTTTTGATATTAGCCTGAGTCACTTCTGACAAATTTTCTTGACACCAAGAGAAAAAAGGTGACGGGAGGGACCTCCAGCAGATTGACAGTTTCAGCTCTGTTCCTGTAAGCTGTGTGAAGTGGGGGTGTGTGTCTTTTCCATCCAGTCAGCTGTCAAAGCTCTCCTCACTGAGCTCTGCAGTGTGTAATTTCAGCTGTCTGCCCTCTTTTTTTTCTGAATTTTCAGACAAGTTGTATAAATTCAGCACTTTGGATGTAGAGAAGAGAATATTGCAGATAAACAGGTACAACTTATGTAGGAGGATTTGTTTCATCTTTGTGTATCACCTGAAGCCAGTTACTTTACTGGGTATATTATTATTATTATTATTATACAGTATTTATAAAGCGCCAACAGTTCGCTCAGCGCTGTACATGTAAGGGTTTACAACCACTTTAAAATCTAATGCTGCTTTCTTTGAAAGAAAGTGTTTTCCATTTGCTTCCTTTTTTTTGTGTCTACTTCCTGGTTTCCTTGAAGCACTGGTGATGTAGCCCTGGCCTCACCAATGCTTCATTGGAAGGCAACATAGCCGTACCCCTTCATAGAAATCTTGTTTCTAAACTTCAAGATTTTACTGAAGCCCCAAGCCCCCTCCCCCTACTTGTTTGTACAATTTTGAAGGCTAGAATTCCTTTGGTTATTGCTGCCCATTTATTGGGGATTTCCCCTAACTTCTTGTTATGGTGGCAACATTGATACCAGACTTAAAAAAAAAAAAAAAAAAATTCAATGCAAACATACACAGCAATATAAAGTCTAGAAAAATCTCTAAATCTGGCTATATACTACTTTACAATCTGATTGTTTTATCTTTATACAATATTTTTATAGATTTAGCAAAACCATATAATGTGAGGACTCACCTAAACAATCCATTCAGTACTTATCCAATTGGTCAGGCCTTTGCACTAAATAATTTGTTCTTTTATAGAGAAACTAATGTCCCAATACTTACCTATCCTTTAACGGTCTGACATCCCTTGCCGGCACCAGTATTTTTTACCCTGGCTTCTTGGTGCCAGGCTGTGGCTATCTTCATTGGCTGATGCAGGATGGCATCACTGCAGCCCATGCACAGGAGTTCAGTCATCTCGGCACACAGGTGCCAACTGCAATCAAATGTTTGCAATAACTAGTAATAATTCCTTCACATCACTGTGGAGGAATTTTGGCCCACTCTGCTTTGCAGAATTGTTTTAATTCAGCCACATTGGAGGGCTTTTGAGTATGTAAAGCCTGTTTTTAAGGTCATACCACAGCATCTAAATTTTAATTAACTCCAGACTTTGACTAGGCCACTCCAAAACCTTTAATTTGGGGGGGGGGGGGGGGTTGGGGGGTTTGAGCCATTAAGAGTTGGACTTGCTGGTTTGTTTCGAATCATTGTCAAGCGAGCTTGAACTTGAGGTCACGAACTGATGGCCGGACATTGTCCTGAAGGATGGTCTGGTAGAGCGCAGAATTTATGGTTCCATTAATTATGGTAAGTCGTCCAGGTCCTGAAGCTGCAAAAGCAGCCCCAGACCATCACACTACCACCACCATGTTTGACTGTTGGTAGAATATTCTTTTTATGATATTGTGTGTTAGTTTTATGCCAGATGTAATGGGACGCAAACCTTCCAAAAAGTTAAATTTTTGTCTTATCAATCCACAGAACATTTGCCCAAAAGTCTTGGGGATAATTGAGGTGTTTTTTGGCAAATGTGAGATGAGCCTTTGTGTTCTTTTGGTCAGCAGTGGCTTTTGCCTTGGAACTCTACCACGGATGCCATTTTTGCCCATTCTTTCTTATTGTTGAATCATGAACACAGACCTTAACTAAGACAAGTGAGGCCTGCAGTTCCTTAGATGTTGTTCTGAGTTCTCTTATGACCACCTGGATGAGTGGTCATTGTGCTTTTCACCATTTGTATATAATGGCTCTCACCATGGTTTGCTGGAGTTCCAAAGACCTAGAAATGGCTTTGTAACCCTTTCCAGACTGATAAACATCAATTACCTTGTTTCTTATCTCTTCTTGAATTTCTTTAGTTCACGGCATGATGTGTTGCTTTTTGAGATCTTTTAACTTGCTTCACTTTGTCAGACAGCTTCTATTTAGGGGATTTCTTGATTCAACAGGTCTGGTAGTAATCAGCCTTGAGGGTGGCAATTGGCAAGTTAATTACAGTTTGTGATCTAGCAAAGGGGGCAATTACTTTTTCACATAGGGCCAGGCAGGGTTTGGACAGCTTTTTTCTCTTCATAAATTAAATCATTTAAAAAACTGCATTTTGTATTTACTCGGGTTATCTTTGTGTAATATTAAATTTTGTTTGGTGATCTGAACCCTTTAAGTCTGACAAATATGCAAAACAAAAATTAAAAATCAGGAAGGTGGAAAATAATTTTTCACAGCACTGTATGTTTGTGTGTGAGGCCTGACAAATTTGTTATATACTGGATAGAATGACGTTTTATATTTTACAAAAAAAGCTTATTTGCACAAAAATTTAAGTTTAATGTATGTTTTACTGAAAATCTTGGTCAACAGCTGCACAACTATTGAAACCAGCATAAAAATGTTAACTTATCATCTTTTTTTATTCTATAGACTCTCTTCTTATGTTTTGTGGGCTGTAATTATTCTTCAGTCCAAAATGCATTTCAGCATGTGTGTCAAGGAAAAATTAAAAAAACAACCTTTTATTTCTGTATCATTTATTTATTTCTATTGGTTTTTCAGCTTTTCCTGGAGGATGTGTTGCAATGTCTGGAGGAGGAGAGTCTCTTGGAAAATGGGATGTCAAAGACTGTAAGAGTTTTAAAGCTCGGTCTATATGTAAGAAAGGAATTGGATCTGCCAAAGAGGAAGATTTTCCAAAACCCAATGTTACCACTTGTCCTGATGGCTGGTTTTCCGGATCAGGAATGTATTGCTACAAAGTATGCATTTAGTACTTACACGTTCGCATCTTTTCCTATAATATTGTTGAAAGCAAACAATGGCCTTTAGTGCTCATTTACACTATCTTCAAAACATGGCATTGGACACGCTTTTTTAAAGCGCTCTGTGAACGCCAATCAACGCACCTGTCACTAGATAAAATGGTTAGCTTATAGTCCTGTTTACACGTTGTGTTTGCTTCAAAATTATACCCCATGTCGCTTTAGTGGTGCTTCAAAGCATCTTCAAAGCCTCCATTGAATTCTATGAAAAAGCTTCATTAAAGCTTCGAAAAAGCACCACCCAAGCATTGCAGAAGCATCAAAATCACACCAAGAGAGCATGTTGAAGCGGTAGGCGCTTTAATGTATGTTGAAGTCGAAGCAAGTGTAAATGAGCCCTGAATGTTTTGTGAATATGTTTCTTCTATTGCCCTTATACTAAATGGTCTCTCCTCCTCATTTTTGTTACCTAATATACTTGTATTTTAGACCCCAGGAGATGTTCCCCTATTGTCTTATACTATATTTAAAATGCAATATTCCTACTTACACCACAGCTCTGTAGAGATCTTTGCTGCCAGGCACCTCCCAGCCTTTCTTCTTTCCAGAATCTTCCACATCCTGCCTATCACACCATGTGTTTGTGTGATCCAGACTTCATGGAAAGCAACGTGGTGCCAGTCTATTCATTGAAGTCGGTATTGTCCAAACTACATGTGTGCAGGAGGAATGTGTGGGGGAGAATTGGAAAGGCTGGGCAGCTCTTGAGGTCGACCAGGAAAAATTTTTGCAGAGATGGATTATAGGTTAGTATATTACATTTTAAACATTAAATAGGAATACAGGTTTGAAATGAATCTGAGATTCACCCAGGTTGGGCAAAGCTTCACTTTAATGTACCCCCTGCCTCCCCTCAAGTCACTTTGATTACAGCTTACGTAGGGCTACAGACTCTATCACCACCCCCATGATGAGACCTGGTGATTGGCTGCTCAGGCATTTACCTATACATCCTGGAAGTAAGGGAAGGAAGTTGTATGCTCCACAAACCTAGTGTTGGTATTTCCCCATGCTTTGAATATAGTGGCAGGAGATCAAAAGGTAGGTGAGCATGTATGGAACGGAGTGCAGTCATTAAGGTGGATAAGCAGGTTTCTCATTTGTAGTGACAGTTGATGAGAGATCTGCTTTTTTGTCATTTGATTGACATGTACATTACATTTGCTCTCATGTGCTTTAGCTGTATATGCATGTTTTATTTTGTTAGGTTTTCAACAAAGAGAGATTACTGAGGCAAAGAACCTGGGAGGAAGCTGAAGGAATGTGTGAAGAGTTTGGTGGCCATCTTGCTAGTTTTCCTCATATACAGGAAATGAAAAACTTTCACGTGTTCCTAAAAGCAAGCATGAGGTATATTTTTCTTTTGAAAAGTACCTTACCTTTAGAAAATTAAATGGCAGTATCTGTATTTGTTATCCTAGGCATCGAAATACAATAGGATGATCATCTTTTTTTTTTTTTGTATTTTGTTATATTTACCTGAAGCCAAAAGCGATGGATTTGGGTCGGCTTGAATAAAAGAAACTTGGGAAGCTGGGAGTGGAGTGATGGCCGTCCTGTAAGTTAACGTTCTGTAAAAATACATTTATTAGATATTATGAAAAACCTTATCCCTTTTAGGGCCATGTCACACAAGCTATCCTGTTGCTGGGGAGTACTTGCCACAATAGGACAGGGCTAAACCGGGTAGAAAAAATTCCTGTTTCCATTTCACTCCCTCACTGGCTGGATGTAGGACACATCACTCTCTTAATGGAGATGTACATTCTACAGCCTTTCCATCAGTGAGGAAGATGAAGATCTAGCCATTGAGGAAACGACACCTAGAAGTAGGTGAGTGTTTTCTATGCAGGTTTCTAGCAATCCTGTCCCTGGTGTGTTGTCTCTGACAGGTTTGCTACTGTGACATGACTCCTAAGCTCCATGTTGGAGAATGTAGAACAAGTACCGGTATGCCTTCGTTAGTTGGCTTCATTGTGGCTTTGGTGTGGAGTCCTGCTGGAGTCTTATAGGAGACTTTTTGTAACAATGCTTTCAAATATGCTTTGCTTACTAATACACTATTTTCTCTCCAAAGATCTCTTCAACTGTACTGGATGAATTTCAGGAAGAGGACTATTTCCTTCGAGACTGTGCTGCATTGGAGGTGAGATGAGAAACCACCTCATATCTATAGATAATAACCTCTTTAAAAGTGAAGTAATACCTCTCTTTCGTAGACATACCAAAATAAAATGAAAGAAAGGCTCTTCACACACAATTCAATATATAAATTAGGGCAATAAGCATTTGCCAAGTTTAAAAACTGAAGCAGAAATTTGACAATCAACTGTCCCTTTATAGGAGAACCATGGGGTTTTGTATTGCTAGGAGATGGACTTTGCATGTCTCTTCTGCTAAAAGAAAAAAAAAACTATACCATCTTTCCCAGCAATTGTAAAAACCTAATACACTGCCTGTGATATAGTGCAGTGTACTACATGGCTTGTTCCCCGCATCTGTAAGATGGCAAGAATGCACCTGGATGCCAGGAACAACATAAGCGGCCACTCAATGGGCAGAGATGACCGACTTGGGACGTAGAAGACTGTTGAAGATGGCAGATAGTAGCTGCGCAGGACATCGCTTGAGGAACAGGTAAGTACAGTACAGTGAGAAGGTCTGCTTTAACTGTTAAAATGTGTATATGTAATGATTACCGCATGTCACTGTGTGGCATTTGTTATCCTGTAGTAACCTGATAAGTTAGGGGGGTACAAATATGCCAAAATGATGTGCTGTAAGCCTTTCCTCTATCTGTTCTGTTTTGTGTTTTTTAATAGATTAATGCACCAATGCAAAGGAATGTCTGGACATGGCATTTTGAACCATTGCATGAGCAGGAATACAGCCTGCAGCCATTCCATTGTGAAGCCCAACTGGAATGGGTGTGCCAGATTGCCAAAGGTGAGTAGAATATACATGTTGATGGTTATGCTCTCCTGATAAAAAATATAGGCTCAAGGCTAAGTTCACTTTTGGAACATGTTCCACCTGTATTTAGGGTGAAACATGTAAACATGTCCAGCTCCCGCAGCCTCTTCCCCTGATGCCGCTTGCATTGTGACAGCAGGTGAGGGATCTTCTCCATGCTCCCGCTGCCACAATTCAAAAACAGTGTGGCCGTGCAGGGCTCCACCCACAGGGGCACATCATTCATTCACAGAATCCTGTAAATGAGTGAACTACAAGTACCATCAGCCATTGCGCTGACAGCTTGTAGTTCTAAATGGACTGCAAGGAGCCTGATGAGCGCTCTCGTAGTTAATTCACAAGCCCTGCAGCTGGTAAACAGTCAGCTTGTATGCAGGTATAGGCTGAAAGCTGCAGGGCTGATGGTAGGTAGAATGCTTTCCAGGCTCCTGCAGGAAAAAATAATAAATGCACTATTTTTTCTGCAAAAATATGTGCATTTACTATTTTTTCTTAATAGGTTAACTTAGCCTTTAATATTAGCATGGACACCTATTCCTGTTATGAATTTAAAAAGCCACAGAGCCTTTTGTGTGTGGCTGTGTGCAGAACAGAAGAGGTGGAAGCCTTTTATGGTGCCCCACTCTGAGTGTAAATTGGAATTTCAAAGTGTACCTAACCCCAGAAACAAAATGTAGTATATAACTAGAAAAGCTACAATTTTTGGGGAAATTGTGTGAAGTGTTCTTGCCTCCACTCTGCTGCCTGCTCACACACCTGGGTTTCTATGGCAACTCACTCTACAGCAAGGGCAGAGAAGAGCGGTTAAAAACAAACTGCTCCAGCTTGCTCACTTCACTGGCGGTTGCCATCTTCAAACGGTTGTAGTTTAAAAATTATACATCCTACACCGAAGAGCTTTATATTGTGAGAATCACAAGACCCAGACCTACATTTTGATATAGTATGTCTCTGAAATATTAAAAATGAAGGCACAGTCACAGTTTAGAAATTGCCCTTTAAATTTGAGGTGGCTAGAGTGGAGTTTCAATGAATGTCAATCGGCGGCGTGAGTTGCAAACAAATGGTCATATTGTGGAAACTACCAGGACTATGGCTTAGCCGTGGACATTTTTAGTGGCAGCGGGGATAGCTGAACGTTTTGATATACGATTTGTGTAGGTGGGCTTGAAAATGAGGGAGTGATGGCAGTTTAGAAATCATGTCCTGATTTTTCAGCTCACACTCTAGCTTTTGTCAGCTCACACTCTAGTTTTGAACATTGCGCCATTCATTCCTATGGGACCAATTTCACCACAAAAACTCAGATATTTCGTGAACCATTCGGCGAAACCGTTCCACAAAGTAATAGCACACCAATCGGGAACAATCCGCACGTTTCGGTATACTACTGTGTATGTAGTGTAAAATCTGTGGGAGGAGTTAGGGTGGTCAATTTGGCTATAATAATAAGAATATATATGTGAGATAACAGTAAGTGGTCTTGCCATGCAAGAACACTTAATAAGCTTCCCAATCCTTAGATGGGGTGGCTGCATTAGTTAGATTAGAAGATTTCAGGCAAGATCAACAGGTATTTTTTTTTTATCTTCTGAAACGGATGTAACAAAACCCTTTCAATAGTATGTTTAACAGCCCAAAAATGACCAAATAAGAGAAGTTTAATTGTTGAGGTTTACATGCACTTTAACTCCTGTGTGTACCCACCCCTCTCCCTAAAGCCATACACTGCTAGACTTCTCACATTCAGCCCTCAGGAGGAATATCAGTAGCTTTCTACATCCATGCTAAACAGCATGGATGGAGGAACTGTAATTAGGCAGTTTGTAAAATGAATGTAAAAATGTGAAATGGTTATATTTCAGAGATTTTAACAAGCCTTCATTTTTTTTCAACAAGTAAAAAAAAAAATTATGTTTTTGCTGTACTCTTGAATAAAATTGGATTGCAGTATCTGCTAAAGAGAAAGGCGGACATCTTCCAAATGTCAGTGGTTATTGCAATCACTCCTTTTGCCTACCATACAGGGTTCGGGGTCCTAAAGGAGCTTAAAAGTACAGTGCTTGAGGATGATAGTGCCTATGTGTTACTACATACAATGCCCTTATGCTTTGGAGAACATTTGCATGGTGTAGTTCAGTTTCATACAATTAAATGACATAATTTACATTGCTTCAACTTTTCTAGGTGTCGTCCCGAAAACTCCACAGTGGTATCAGCCAGGTAACTACTGTTTTGTCCTCCTTTTTGTGTGTTGTAGAGGATGTAGCTTAGTTTGTATAATGCAAAGTTACATTAACAACCCAATAAATGCAGTGTTTAAAGAGCAACTATTTTCTGCAAGTAAACAGAACTGTTAGGCTCCTTTCACATGGAACAGAGTCTGCTCCAACCAGCAGGGGAGCTGTAAGCAGATCCCCTGCTGAATGGCACTGAACAGGACGCCCATCCATGCCCATTCAGTTTCTTGCTTGCGTACACAGGCGAACTCCTGTCGGCTGTATGGATGACCAAGTGTTAACAGAGACTGCTGTCTGTTTGCATTAGGTTACTTGTGATCCGGTGTGCAAAAACAGAAAAGAATGTAGTCCTTTTCCTTTTTTTCTTTTGCGGACCTGAAGGGTCCATTTACATCCACCTATCCATAGGGCACCATGGACCTTCTGATCAGGTCCGCCTCAAAAACTGCCAGGTGGATCTTTTCAGAATGCCCATGTGGAAGAGGACTAACACTTACCTGAAAATCATTTTTTATAAGGTGTTTTTTTTTTTTAAATGGACTTTTCCATGTTTTGATTATTGCATGCAGTGTTTGTAAATGCGTGATCATTTCAGGGAATGGGATTAGTATCCCTGCTTAGGGATCATTCACCAGTCCATAAACCAGCCAGATCAGTAGATCAGTATATTTCTGTGGCTCATACAATCAGGATTTTTTTTCTAAATGGCTGCAGACAGGACCTGTACAAATGAACGTCATACTGACACTGTATGTGGCTGTATTTCTGTAATTGCTCAAGGAGTGATTGCATGCAGCTAGGGACAAACGAGCGGCCCTGTGCACCTACTATTTGGGGGAGATTTACTAAAACTGGTGCACTCAGAATCTAGTGCAGCTGTGCATGGTCACCACCTAACTTCAGCTTGTTCAGTTAAGCTTTGACAATAAAACCTGGAAACTGATTGTTTTCTGTGCAGAGCTGCAGTTTTAGTAAACAACCTTCTTTATATCTAGGGCCTCTCATGTCCTTAGATGCAGGTAATTGCTCCATGTGAGAGCCTCTTAGCTTGTTGTTAATTTGTACAGGTGGAGCTGCTACAGCTAATCAGAAACGCATAGTTGTACCTGCTTCAGAAATATGCTGATCTGGCCAATGAGTTGCCAGGAACAGCTATGCGAATGAGCCCTTAGGGCCAGTTCACACCATGCCTGCATCTGAATCACACAGGAACATGCTGTGTGATTCAACACACATGCAAAATGCAGTGTTTTTGCGATCTGCAGGGGTGTCAAGAATTTAACAAAACACAGGTCGCAAACGCGCAGTACTTTTGCCTGCACCGGATCGCATGGGACTTTTGTAAAAAAAGTAGTGCGTGCACTATTGGCACGTTGAAATTTTAGCCCATTCAAAATGAGGGCTTGAAATCGCATCGCGCACAGGAACAGAACAGTGTGTTCTTGTGCAATTCAGCTCCGGGCATGGCGTGAACGAGCCCTTAAAGCTACCTTATTGTCATGCGGAGTAGGTTAATACTGCAGAACCCTGTACAAGAAAAGGATAAATAGTTATCTCTGCAGCTGGAATAACTTTCTCTACGTGGTGACAAGGTCACTTTAATGTTGGCTGAAAAAGGAGATCAAACCACACAATATACAGAACATCTGTATATAATTCCAGCTTGTTTAGAGATAATCAGCACTGCTTTTCTTATCTTTCACAGCTAATGGTCTTGGTCAGCGAATTGGTCCAATAATCAATATTGAATCTGAGTTTAAGTACCACATCCCTAATATTGTAAATATATACCAAAAAGTGACCTGAAAATGGGGACTTTTGAGGCACAACATAAGCATAAAAACATGATTTATTTTGTATCAAAATCCAAGTTATAGGACAACATTCTATTTCACATCAATGGTACTAAAATGTGTAGAAAATGAAAAGTTTACAACATCCAGGAACAGCAAATCTCTTTTCCTGTGATCCAATGTCTCAGAACAGATTATATGCCCACGGCTGGTTTATGAACAAAGCTAAAAACTTCCTGTGTGATAGCAATAACACATGATAAAATACTTTAATAATAATTTACCAAGTCAATGAAACGCATTTGAGCCCAAGCCAATAAGAATGAGCCTAAAGTGTACAAAAGTTGGATCGCATGCGAAGAGATTTGCTGTTCCTTGAGGTTGTAAACTGTTCATTTTCTACACGTTTTAGTACCGTTGATGTGAAATAGAATTTTGTCTTATACATTGGATTTTGATACAAAATAAATCGTGTTTTTATGCTTATGTTGTGCCTCAAAAGTCCCCATTTTCAGGTCTCATTTTGGTATATATTTACAATTGGTCCACTAGTCTGTAATAACAGAAAAAAATGGTTTATGCAGTACAGATTAAAAACATGTATTTAAACATCATTTAAAAGCATCAAACAAATCGGCAGAGTAGTAACAATCTCCAACTCTGTTCAGTGCTCTGTGTCACAGTGACAAACTCAAAGTGCCTTTGCATTTTGGCCAATCTTTGCTCAGTCAGAAAAAATATTTAAACCCCCTACTATAGCAAAGCATGTCTGGCTGCAGCCTCTATATGCCCGTGTCCACCAAACTGCTGTGGATCAACACATTTTTAGTCAGCATAGATTTCAGATGGAACATCAGTTTGGCATTGCTCTCATTCTTCTGCATCTAACTCAGGATACTGTTTGTTACGTGTCTACTCTTAAGAACTCTCTTGTTTTGGTTTCTTTAGAATGGATGAACAAAAGGGGCCCAACAATTGTTGTTGGTGGCTCAGAGTACTGGCTTGTGTCAGATCCAAGGCTTGGCCACAAAGAAGCCGAACTGTATTGTGCTGTGAATGGCAGTGAATTGGCAGTCATTGACTCCTACGGGGCCTTGACTGCTATACAGGAATACATGAAGAAAACAACGACTGAAACGGTAAGTCATTGAGCTACTAATTTGTACTGACCAGCTTCCTATTTACTGAAGTCTAACTAACGTAACGTTTTACCAATCCATATCCTTAAGTTAGGGATGGAGATTTGTAATAATTTAGATCTCGACTCTTATCTTGGAACAGTGCAGCCTCACCTTTCAAAGCCTTAAAGCAAAAAAAATAAATCTTAACAGGTAGGATTTTTATGACAGAAGAGACCTAGTGGTCTCTTCTGTCATAAACCCTTCTCCCTTCCTGTTGGCATTTGTGTACATATGCGTAGATTAGCATACATTTGCGGCACCATTCTGCGCTGTGATGATGTGATTCCCATTGGCATTCATGGAAGTGAAATAATTGCAACCCTACAAACTAAGTGGCTGAAGAGTCAGAACCCAGAAAGAAGACTGGGAGAAGATGGCAACATCTTGACAGGCAGGAATGCTGACAGTGCAGTGCTGGAGGGAATCTCTTGTCTGGTAAATCTGCCAGAGTGTGCAATTATGCTGTGCATACAATCATATTATAGCTAAAAGCTCCCAGTGCCCCCCAAAAAAATGGTGGAGGATTAATTCTGTAAGTACATTTTGCCTCTTGGCCGAGCTCCGTGCTTTTAAGGATTAAATGTTCTAAATCTAAAGGATTTGTTTGTTTTGACAGCTTTTGCCCCCTCCAGAAGCCTAGGGAGTGTGTTGCCCTTGTCCTCTTTAGATCAACCAACCATTATGTAGGACCAGAACCTACCTAACCACACTGCTCAAAAAATTTAAAAGGAACACTTCTGGGATGTTGATCTGGTAAGTTAAGTAGCAAAGGGGGTTGTTTTCAGCTGCTTTGGTGTAAATGAAATTAAAAACAGCTGCACTAGATGGTCAACAATCAGACGACCCATAAAACAGGAGTGGTTGTACAGGTGGAGGCCACCGATATTTTTTTCCCTACTCATCTTTTCTGATTGTTTTTCACTATTTTTGCATTTGGCTAGGGTCAGTGTCGCTACTGGTAGCATGAGGCGATGGACTAGCCTGCGGCATCATTTGTTCACTTTGATTTCCAGGGTGCCTTCAGTCCTCTGTAGGTTTATCACTTTTCATTTCCATCAAACGATGGAGCATCCTTACATTCTTAACACATCACCCAGTCCGTATCAGTATAGATATCCAGCATTCTATTTTTCCCCATTGAGATCTGTTGTGTTTTCAAAGTCTTCCTTTAATTTTTTTGAGCAGTGTAGATCAAATATGAATTTGCTCGAATGGGCTTTAGAACCCATACTGCGTGTAGGAGGCACACTCTGTGTTCTGGGCCATGCACCCACTCCTGTACAGCTGTCAAATTTTGACATGCAGCTGTGCCTGTGCAGCTGCTGCATCTGCCTCCACTTTCATAGGCTGCCTGCTTTCAGCTGGGGGCAGATGCCAAAACAAACACCTCCTTTCCCCACACATGCACACATGCCACTGCCCATCTGAACGAGGCCTATAGTAGATTGTTGAAGTAAACCTTGTTCTACATAGGTCTGCATAGTTTTGGTAGATCTACAGGAGATTGAATGAATTCAGAAGGTAAAGAAGTACTCACCTGTCTTTGTGTTGTTTTGGTGAGTATTGCTGTGCAGATTTTAGCATTTTGACTGCAAAGCAAACATTGCTAGATCAAGGCAGAAGTACATTATTGGATGGGCTGCACTCAAGCAGCGTTGGAAGGAAATGAATTAAGGGACAATATAAGCAAAGGTGAAGTTGTCCATTTTTAAAGAAGAATTTTTTGGAAAGAACAAAAAACAAATATATGTACTCACCTGTATGGTCACAGCATTGGTCCGATGCTCTAGCTGTCCCCCACTGGCTATAAGCACCAGAACTGAGAGCATCAGGCAGGAGAGGGGGCTGGAGCGGCTGGCTCAGGCTCTCGGCGGGTTACTGAGAGGGTGATCCAACTACCGATCAGGAATCTGGGTGGATTCTGACATTATTGTCAGAAACTTTCCAGAGTCTGTGATGTCAGCCAACAGCAGGCTTTGGCTTTCCTGAGACCTTCAAGAGAAGTATG